ATGCTCCGCCGATGGAGCCAGCCAGAGCTCCCAATAATGAAATTTTTAAAAGAGAGCAAAAATTGCAGCACATTGTCGCAGAGAGGGTTTCAGTAATTTTTATATTTCTGAGTTATACCTCACCTTCCTATTCCACCTTGCCCAGCGGCAGAAGGAATCCTTACTAACCTCTCCTCCACCATCCACCAGGCCCAGGTCTGAGCTGCTGTGAAATTTCTCAATCAATCTGGATCATGGAAGGGCACTTCAACCACAGGTCCCCTTCTGTTGTTTTTCCACCACCAGTAATTATAAAAAACAAAAGATCTTTGTTGCCAGGATACTGGAGGATCCTGTATTATCTACTGCTCTGGATTTTCACAGAAAATGAGCCATTTCACAGGAAATGGGCCTTATCATGCACCCAGAATCATAAGATATTTTTAGAGACGGGAAAGATCTTGAAAATCATATTGCCTATTATCTTCACAGGCAAGAAAGTCAGGCTTGGGGCAGGTGACAAGCCCCCAGGACTACAAAGCCCCTGCTCAACACTCCACGTGGCCTCTGGATGACAGGACAGCTTGCCCTCTGCTTTGTAACACACAAAACTCTAAAATGCAGGAACTTGACCGTGTCCACCTGGCTAGCACCTCCAGCTAAGGCGAGTTGTACACATCGGAGGGAGGTAGGGCCAGAGCAGGGCCGCTATGTCATTTGGGGAGCCCCAGTGCAAAATAACAGTGCAGGACTCCTCATTCCAACAGCAGAAAAAAGCTTTGCCCTTTTTTCTATGATCTCTCTCTCAACCTGGTCTTTTTGTTTTGTTTTTGTTTTCTTTTTGCTATTTAATTAGTATACTCCTTTGGATAGGAGGTGGGGAGATCTGTGCAGACCTCACTGGGAACACAACCCCCCACTCCAACATGCCTGGGAGCCCCACCCTGGGACTGTGTGTGTGTGTGTGTGTGTGTGTGTATGCACATGTGTGTTGAGGGGGATGCTCCAAGTCAGCTGGACCAGGCCCTGCTGGGGGCAGAAGGTGTCCGTGGTCTCTCCGTAGGAGCAGAGAAGGGGATCTGGGTGCCCCCGGGACACCAGCGGATAGGGAAGTGGGCAGCTGTGGACCCCATGTGAGGCTTTAAGCCCCTGACACATGCTCCATCATCCCCATGGAACTTCACTTACAAACCACAAGGTCAAGTATAAAATTAGTAAGTTCAAGGCCATGATTTCAAAGCATTAAACCCCATCTGTGTGTCCCCTCTGAGTACAGGGCCTTGTACATCTCACCGCTACATGACCAAGTAGCAGAGGTGTGATGGCCCTAGGGGTGACAGGCTCAGGTCGAGTGGGGATGCAAGTTTAAAGTGTCCACCTTTCTTCCCTACAGCCTTTGGCTACAGCCTTTCCTGGGGGATCTCCAGCTCCTGCCCATCGTGACCCAGGGGATGACAGATTTGGTGCGGACTCTGTCCCAGGAGGTGTTTGGAAGAGGTGAATAATACAGTTTCTTGAAGCTGATCTCCCCTTAGAAGGCACACTCTTCTGGGATGTGGGGAAGGGGCTGCAAACTGCCCCTTCCCCATCCTCTGAATCTTTCACTCTGTACATATACGCTTGGCCATTCCGGACGGCATCTTTTTTTTTTTTTTGAGCTTTTATATTTGAGTTTATTCTTCATTTAAAACACTACTATAGTTGAATATTAAAACAAAAACAATAGCAAGTAGTGAGCTATGATTATAGTCCTTCACTCATTCACTACTGCATATAAAATGCCAGCAGTGTTATTCACTGGCCCCATGAAGAGGTCTGACACTGAACACCACGCCTGGGATGATGTTCATCATCCTCATAGGCTTCCCCATTGTAATGGCGCCATCTTTCCTGATCTGGATCAAAATCCACCAGTTCTACCTGGTCCATTTCATCAGTCTCTTCTACTTCCTTCCTCTCAGGTAGGAGTTTTTCCAGCAAAGAAAGTTTATCAGGAGAGAGAAAGCCATTCTCAGGAAAGTTTACCTTAACTTCAATGATTAGGCGACCCTTCTCATATGGTCTACGATAAATTGGCATGCCTTCATTTAGCACACACTTGATATCTCCATGCTTGACAATTTGACCTGGGTGAGAGGTGATGACGATGGTTCGGTTGTCAAGAGTAGATATTGGCTTTTGAAAGCCACACAGTGCTTCAACCAGCTGTATGTCCATACACATGAAGAGGTCTGCTCCTCGCCGAGTAAAAACAGCGTGGTCCTTCTGATCTAAAACAATGATAGTATCTCCCGGTTCCAGTCCTGGTTCTTGGTCTCCTTCACCATGGAATGTTATCTTCTGGCCGTCCTTCATGCCTTTACCAATATGAACTTCTAGAATCTTCTTCTCTCGGACTATCTTCCTCCCATTGCAGCTTTTACCTCTGTCTTTGGGACTGATCCGTTCCCCATGGCCCTGGCACTCCATGCACACAGACGGAATTTGCTGAACCATTCCAGGTCCTATCTGATGAATTCTTATTTGCATTCCAGTACCTCGGCAATTGGGACAACATTCGACTGCTCCTTTCTTACCACCTCGGCCTTCACATTTATCACAAATCACATTCTTTTGCAGAGCTAGTTTTGGTGTTGCACCATTATATAAATCTTCTAAGGTGACTGAGAGCTGATGCACAACATTTTTACCTCTCCTTTCTCTCTGCATCCTTCCTCCTCCTCCAAAAAACATATCAAAGATGTCCGTGGGGGAGCCAAAACCACCACCAGCTCCACCTTCTTTAATTGCCGGTTCTCCTTTGTCATATGATTCCCTTTTCTTTGCATCAGAGAGTACTCCGTAAGCTTGAGAAATCTGTTTAAACTTCTCTCCTTCATTTGGTTTCTTATCAGGGTGGTACTTCAAGGCCAGTTTCCTGTAGGCCTTTTTCAATTCCCCTTGGGTGGCATCGGGTTTGACCCCCCAAAACATCAGAGTAAGTGGTTTCTTTCACCATTTTCTACAGCCGGTGAGAGGGCCGAGGCCGGTGTGGGGGAGCGGGAAGGAGCGCGTTGCTGGGCGCAGCTCGGGCAGCCGCCGCTCCTCCGCGTCTCACCGAGCGTTCTGGAAAGTTCCCCAGGACGGCATCTTTGATGGCAGACTTTCCGTCCTGTACCTTCTGAGTCTCAGCTGGACTCTGACTTCCCTTGCTCTTTGCTGGGCTCAGTCGGTGCTTAACACTCGGTTCTGGTAGAGCTGTGGGATTTAACCCTGAGACTCCCTGGAGCAAGACTCAAGGCCATGAAGCCCTAGGATGGAGAACCCCACATCGAAAAGCACCACCTGATAATAAGTGTTCCCCAGGGAGGGAATCTTGGCATCTATTTATTTGCCAAGCATCGTGATGTGTGTGCCAGGCACCGTTGTGGGCCCTTCACAAAATTAGGGCCTTATTATGTCCTGAGATGGGTGCTGTTATTATTTCTAAGTCTTCAGATGCAGAGAGCCAACCCAGAGAGGCTAAATAATGGGCTCCGACTGACAACCAGAAAATGGGGAGCTGGAAGCCATCCCCGGTCTGTCTGGCTCCGAGCGTTTGGCCTCTGGCTTCCATGTCACTGCCTCGTATCCACCCACCGAGGTGGGTGATACAGAAGGGCTGTCTGTTTATCCGTGTAGTAGCCACACGGACAAAAAGCACTGAGTCACGGAGCGGACAGTTTCCGAGATCGTGAGTTTAGGAGACTGCATGATGGGAAGGGCTATGGCTCCCACCTGCCTCCTTCCTGGCCTCTCATCACTAGTCTTTGTTTGGTGGCATCTCAAGGATTCTTCAGAGCTGGTGCTGCACTTCTTTGCCTTTGGTGGAGGTGAGGTTCTTATTCACAACCTTGGGAAATCTGAGTTTTCTCTCTTCCAGGTGGGTAAATATGTTGTTTGGAAATAAAAGTTTGTAAACAGAGCCTGGGAGGCGTCCACAACTCAGCACTGCTTCTGGCTATTGGCCTTGGAACGGTGACTGCCGACGGGCTGGCAGGATGCAGATGGGGTGCATGGGGACTGTGGCTCAGAGGAGGCCCCTGAAAAGCCCAGAGCCTCTGCAGTGCAAGCTGACGACTGGTCCTGTCTCACGGCTCATTAGCCCTGTGGCCAGGTGCCCGGAGGTGGGTGGGAAGGAACAGGTGGCTACTCTCAGGAACATCATAAAACCCCTGCAAAGCATGTGCTTTGTTTTCAGGGACAGTTGCCAAATTCTTGCCCTTGAAATAATTTTCTAGGTCTTTCTACTAGAAAAAAGGTTTCACTTGGAGAATGAGGGAGGGAGGAAATATGGAGACCGGGAAGGAATAGCCAAGTTAGAATAAAGCTCCAATTTCTCCGAAAAGAAGAGAGGAATCATATTACCGGAACCTGTTCTAAGGATAGATACCCGCCCCCCACACCTGACACACACCCCCAATTCTGCAAAGCAAATAGTCAGAACCATGACTGAATTCAGGGAGTTTGGTCAGGCACATCGAGATAGTTGGAGTTAAATGAATGCAAGGCAGACCGAGGAGGGCCCCTTACTCCAGCTTTAAGACAACTGTACTATGTTTACTGGGTTCGGCCCCACACGCCCAGGGCCACAGCAGCCCCCGGACGCAGGGACACGCCGCCCGTGGTCTTGGCAGCTCACAATAACTGCACTTTCCACCAGCCTGTCCTCGTTAACACTGCTGGGGCTCCGCGGTTAATCTGTCGAAAGCCAGGGCAACACTGAGTCACCCACCTCCTTTTCAACCAAGGCATACTTCTGGGAATGTGAAGAACACTCCAGCGACGTGACATTCCTTAGCTTGTAGTAGTAGGCAACTCCCCACTTCCTTTCTAGACGCATTGCATCATCTTTCTCAACAGGAAGAAACAGATTTACTTGAAACTTACATGCCTCTGGGAAAGAAAGGCTGGAGTGCTGAGCCCCACCCTGCCCTTCGTAGATCGGCTCTTATCCTGCCCCAGAGGGCGAGTGGGCAAGCCTCCTTACGACTGCTCTCTTGCCTCGCAGGGATCAGAAAGACAGACGTGATGTACGTTCCATGCTCACCCCACAAGCATGAAACCCCGCACTAAGACAGTCACTGCACGCAGGCGTCACAGAGCACGTGTGCGGGGCGTCTATGGACACAAAAGCTCCCGTGGGGGGCGATGCGGTCTTGGCCATTCTTTGTCCTCTTCATCTCCGAGTAAGTCACAGGACAGGTAAATGATCTCTGTAAAACCTTTGGCCTGTGGGTAAACTTTTGTGCATCTAAATCCCAGAGGAATGTTATTTGTTAACAGTGCAGTTAACAAACAAATATTGAGGGTTTGTGGAGGGAGCTCCAGTGAGGCAGGGGTGGTGGATGCAGAGGTGAACAAAAAGGGCATCTGCTGTCAAGAAGGGCCCAGTGTCGCCCTCCACGTCATGCAGGGAAGGGCACACGACGTGTGGGGCTGCGGGCAGGGGAGTAGAATGCTCCAGGAGGCTGGTCAGAGAAGACCGATTCCAGGAGGCATGTTTGAGCCAGGCTGGGGATGCTGGGGGACGCGGTGTTGGCCCAGCGGTGGGACCATCACAGAGAGGTGGGAAAGTGAGAAGACAGACAGATGGAAGGCTGATGCAGAGACGGAGAGCTGGACACCAGGCTGGGTGGGGTGCGGGCAGAGGAGTGCCCAGGCTGGAAGCAGACACGGGGTGGCGGAAACCGTGCTAGGACAATTCAGGCTTTAGTTTGCTGCTGACTGTGAGCCATGGTGAGTCTTGAGCGGAGTGACACACTCCACACATAACATGGAGAGGTCGTCCTGGTGGCGACCAGTGAAATTCCGCCTGGGAAAGGCTGAAGGTGGGTATGGGTTTGGAGGCCATATCAGGGCTGTAAGTGGGCTGGAGCTGCGCCTGATCCATAGCGAAGGCCAGAGAACATCAGAGGGTGATAAGGATGATAATGATGCTCCTCCCCCTTTGGAGAGGCTAAGCACCTCTTATTTTACTTTACCTATCAGGTCGACTATCACCCCATCTTCCAGATGAAGAAGCTGAGGCTCCCAAGAGGGAAGCAGTATGTGAGCAACAGTGCCATGAGTTCAACCCAGATCTTTCTGACTCCAGTCATACCCAGCATAGTGGAATGACGGAGTCGAAACCCAGTAAACTGTGGGAGGAGGAGAGGATGTTCTGGTGGTTTCTGCCTGGGCACCACGGAGGACAGATGGCAGTGGGTAAGTCAGGGACAGGCAAGTGGGAGGAGGACCTTGGAACTAGTTTGGCTGGGAACCAAAAGAAAACTTGACACCAGCAAAATACCATGGGTGGTGTTGACCATCTGTAATTGGAGCTACTGGGCCAAGGTTTATGTCAAAGATCAGAGCTAGAAGTGTCCACGTGGTACAAAGGGAAGATGTTTGTACGTATAAGCAGGGCAGGAAAGCAAGGTGCAAACAGAATTATAGGAGCAGGGCTTGAGAGTTTAGAACATGCCAGGCGCTGGGCCAGATGCTTGTCATGCATCCTTATGACCACCTGTGCATGCTCCCACTGCTATCTTTTGTTTCCAGGTGAGTAACAGAAGCCTGGGGACATAAGTAGCTCACCTAAGGCCACACAGACAGTAATAGTGACCTTCTACCTCCAGCCAAAGTCAGCTTCCCAAGGGCATCTATTAGACAAATACAGGACAGATTCGCCCAAGAGGGGTTACAAAGTTGTATCCCGGGATTCTAGGCTCCTTACATCTCTCTAGTTGCTTATCTGTATTCTGTCTATAGTGAATATGCACTATTTTTGTGATAGGAAAAAAGTTTTAATAAAGCAAAGAAACAGAGGTGTAAATTGGTAGGCTTTTTGGAAGACAATTTGCGGACCTGCATCAAAAGCTGAACATTTGGCGTATTTTTTGGACCCGACAATTCCATTTTTAGGAGACAATCAAAGAAGCAGGGGAAGACTTCTGTATAAAGATGTTGAAAGCAGGAGATTAGAGAAAAACTGGAAATACTCAAATATCCAACAGTAAGGGATTGAGACAGATTTGGGCTCAGCCATACAGTTCAATTCAAAACTAGGTAGCAGCAAAATGGCTCCTGCAAATTGGCATGAGTATGTGAAGAGTGCTCATGATGCATTAATGCACGAGGAAAATACACTATAAAGCATTACCGACCAATTGGTCTCATTTGGATAAAAAGTGCGTTTATAGGAAAACATTCATTAAACTACTCAGCTTTTAAGAGAAGTATCGATGCAAATAATTATTCAGTTTTAACTGTGATAAATGATCATTGGAAGAGTGTGCACTGACTGTGTGTGATGCGGAGGAAACCCAGCCAATTAGCAGGTGGCGCGTGAAGGTTAAGAGTTGGAAGGATATACACCAAAATGCTTCGTGACTTGAAGTTTTCTTTTCAATGATCTGTATTTCGTAGGCTTTTTTTCCTACAGGAAAATTGGATTACTTGGGGAAAAATATTTCCTCTTAAATAACTTTTCAAATGAAAAGGAAAAAAAACAAGTGTGGAAGTAAGGAAAGGTGAAGAAGGTGCGTGTTCACGGACTCGTGGAGGAGAGACCTTCCAGAAGAGACTCAACAGTATCGGCTACTCTGAAAGTCCCAACAGGATGAAGACCAAGATAAAGAAAGGAGGAAGCCACTGATGACCTTACGTTTCTTATGGGAAACGTTTATTTATTGTTCTTTGTCTCCAGCCACCTTCCTCTCTCAGCCCAGACCCACATTTTCCCTCACCTTCTCCTGGACATCTTCCCCTGGCTATTCTGTGGATAGTTCAAACTTGGGTACCCCAGAACTGCCTACTCTTCACTCCAGCGCCCAATCAGACAGACAGACAGACAGACACCAGACTCATTCACCTGTTCTCCCCATCCTCCTCGGTCACACCACCATCCACCCAAACTGAGTATCATTCCAGAATCTTTCCCTCCCCCTGCGTATGCACGTGTAGCGGATCCTTTAAATATCTCATTGACTAATCTCTCCTCTCTAACCTTGAGGCTACAGCCTTAGGCCTTCCTTATCTCTTATCCAGACCGACTCACCACTACCCCACCTACCACCCTCCTACTCCTAACCCATCCCCCACACCTTTACGGACTCCGAATGCCTTTGGACCATTTGACTCACACATAACACTCTGCTCCCATTCTCCCCAGAATCAAGTCTAACTTCTTTAAAATCTTGCAAATAATGAAACAAGGAGCATCAGGGTATATATAACTCGCCTTACTCATTCAAGTTATTTCCTCGGGATAAATCCGAAATTGAGCAGTGATCCCACCCGCCTGCCCCCATTCTTCTCCATCGAAAAAAAATCTTAATATTTGTGCCCTGACTCGGCTTGTTTTTTTTTTTTTTCAGGCCCCAGTTATTTTTTTATTGAGGGAAAATTATTTTAATTTTAAAGCAATATGTGTTTAACCATTTCCCTCCCTCCAGTTTTTTGTTTGTGTTTTCGTTTTGCTTTTACACACATAACTGCTTCAGGTTGTAGAAACATTTTTCTAACTGGCAGGCGCTTCATGAGTTTTTCAAAGCAGCAATCTCTCCCCAGGGAACTCCTTTAAAAAGCAGGGCAGGGTTGGGTGGGAAGTTGGGCTTACTTTCTTTTAGGTGCTCCAAGTTAAGAGTAAAAGGAAAAAAAAAAATAATGCCGAGAGTGTCTTCTATATTGTAGTGGGTAACTCATTCTCCCTAGCCTAATGAGCCACTTTCTTTTTTTTAATAAAGAAAAATTTAGTAGGCAATTTCCCTGGATCTAGAGATACCAAAACTCTCCTTTGAACCGACTTTGAATAGTTTGAGGCCAACTTTGGACTGCCTTGAAATTTTCACAAGAATAAAACCATAGCTGGATAGGTGTCTGGGACATTCCTCCTTCTCCTTTCCCTTTATTTGGGAATCTTATCCAAGGATGTCAGTGCCCTGGGTGCTTATAATGCTAGACTGATTTTATATGTTATCTTAATTTGGGGCTAGTAGGGAGATTTCAAAAGAACTTGGGTCATTCATATAAACAATTAGCTTCAAATAAAACTTACCATCTCTAGGTTAAATATGCATTTTTAACGACATAGCTCTCCTTCAGATCAGGAAGAGTTTGGGAATGTTGTTTCTCAAATGCCTTTATCGAATCCTCTTTGCTTTCCAAAGCTCGGACCTGCTTCCTCATCCTCACAGACGATCCAAGGATGGTAAGGGAATGCCTCCGGTCTTCCAGGACAAACCCACCCACTCTTGGCCCCCGCTGACCTTCTTCGTTATCCGCTCAATAAAGGTTCTTGGAAGGAACACTGTTCTTCACGCCCCAGAGCCTTTGCACATGCTATTGACTCTGTCCACATGCTACCCACCCCCACCCCACTCCTCCCTCCCAGTTTCAGCTCCTGTAGTCCTTCCTCAAAGCTTTCCTTGACTGTCCGTGGTGGGTCAAAGCCCCCCTCATGTGTCCTCCTGGCATTGTGTACCTCTCCTCCCAGGTGTCATTTTAGATTTATTTGTTCATCATCTGTCTCTCCAATGGGATTGAGCTTGATGGAAGCAGGACCCATGTCCATGAGTATCTCTAGTGATTACTACCCAAAGAGTGATTAAGGCCAATGTGATGAGCTCAACCATGAGTATTAGCTGCAAAGTCAAAGATGAGATGCAGCCTTAGAGCACCTGGGTAGGAGGTAGGAGGTCACACTGACCACCACAGAGGTCCAGTGTTGGGATTCCTTTATTCCAGGAAGTGTAATGACTATGTACTAATACATAAGAGATGAGGAGACATTGGTTACCTAGACAGAAGCTCTCTTAGCAAGGCCTGTGGGCCACCTACAGAACACAGACACCCCACCTCTCTTCTCCACTGCCATCACCCCACTTGAAGCTGGAGGACTGGCCAAAGATCTTCCCATCACGTGTCCCGCTTCCACCTTCTAGGCAGCTGCTGGGACAATTGTCCAACAGTCTAGGTAGAATTGCTCATAGCACAGTGAGACCTATCAGCCCATTAGAACAGGTTCTGTGCAGCCCTCTGCCTCCCGCCCTGACTTGTCTTCTGTCTCTCCCCAGTTGCTCTGCCTCCCTGGCTTCTTTTGGGAACCTCGGACACACCAGCCCTGGGCTTGGTCCCCCTGGAGGAAAGCTCTTCCTAGCTGTCCCTTCCCTCATAAAGGTCTCTACTGAATTGTCACCTGCTCAGAGAGGCCCTCCCTGGTCCGCAGGCACACACTTCTCATCTTGGCCTGGTCCATGTTCTTCCTAGCTCTTATCTCTGTCTGCGTTGTTGTTGCTTATTTTCTTGTTGACATGTTTACTACCCATCTTTTCCTCCCAGGATCCATGTTGCAGGGGCCTCCTTAGGACATGACTCAGTGCTCACTAGCCGGACAGGGAAGCACTTAGCCCAGGTTGGCCGAGTGGAAGAACGAATACACTCTCAGCTACTGCGGTTGAGGAGCAGAGAAATAGAGCACGTTAGGATTACAAGGGTCCTGGGATTCATCTAATCCCATGTCATATCCCTAGGGTCGGCGTCCAGACTCTGCCCGACCTCTTATAGGGCTTGAGAGATAATTCTCACTCAGGGGACATAGGGGAATAAACAAAAACAGCCAATGAGGTGATATTATGTCATTTTCATGAGCTAACTTAAAAATTCCACTCTGACCACTTAGCCCAACATTTATTAAGCATATACTCATTGGGGGGTCAGGGGAAAGAGGCAGACGTGCAAAGAAAATAATCCTAAATTGGGGCCCCTGGGTGGCTCAGTCGGTTGAGCGTCTGACTCTTGGTTTTGGCTCAGGTCATGATCTCAGGGTTGTGAGTTCAAGCCCCACTCCGCGCTCTGTGGAGTCTGCTTCTTTCCCCTCTCCCTCTGCCCCTCCCCCACCCCAGTGCACGCACTCTATTTCTCTCATAAATAAACAAATCTGTTAAAAAAAAAAAAGAGGGGCGCCTAGGTGGCTCAGTCGGTTAAGTGTCTGTCTTCAGCTTGGGTCATGATCCTAGCGTCCTGGGATCAGGCCCCAAGTCGGGCTCCCTGCTGGCCGGGAGGGGGGAGTCTGCTTTCTCCCTCTCCCTCAGCTTGTGCTCAATCTCTCTCTCTATCTGGCAAATAAATAAATCTTTAAAAAAGAGAGAGAAAAGAAAAGAATCTAAGTCACCCAAGGGTGAGGACTTCAGTGGAACATGCCTAGGGGGTCTGGATTCCACCTAAGCCCTTTCCTAGCTGTCCTACTGTTGGTTAAATACTTATGAAGATTTTGAAAAGGTGATGTAGGACGGTGGCCATCTTAGTGCCTGGCACACAGTAAGTGCCTAATAAATGTTTGCTTCAGGTCTCTCAGAGAGCAAACGGCAGGCAACAAGGCCCACTCTGCTAAAAACTACGTTTCCCGGCCTCCTCTGCAGCTGGCGGGGCGATTTGACCAAACTCTGGCCAAGGTGAGCTCCAGTCAGTTGGGCCACTTGCTGGTAGGGCCTTCAAACACGGGGCACGGCCCCTCACGCTCCCCTTCCCCTTCTCTGGGCTGACAGCCTTGGCAGGGACCTTGCTGCAACCAGGAATGCGTCGAACGCCCTGGAACATAACATTAACACGAAGGGTGGGACAGGGGAGCTCAGTCTCCCTGCCGGCCCGTCCATCTGGCTGTCTCCGGAAAACTGAAACAGCTCTCAGTTAAACCGGTGCATCTGGGGCCCCTTCATTATAGCAGCTTTGTCTTGACCTCACCAGCTCAAGCATGATCAGGGAAGACTTTGCCCGAGGTGCTGACATTTGTGCTGGACACTGAAGGATAAATGGAAATTTATCAGTTCCGGGGGGAGATTGGTAGGGGAGAGTGGGCGCAAATTTCCAAGAGAACCGCACTGTATGCAAAGGTATGGAGACAGGAAGGCCCTTGGCTGACTATAGCCCAGTGTTTCCCCAGTAGAAGGTCCTCCTTGCTAAATACAGATTCCTGGGGCTCCCTCCACGCCCACCCACCACCACCAGGCTTTCTGAATCAGAATCCGCAGGGGAGGGGCCAAGGGATGGATCTGAATTATTACCCAGTGCCTCGGGTCATTCTTGTGGCCAGCAAGTTTGGGAAGCACTGGGAACTGAGTTGGGGAAGCTGGATTGAGCCCAGAGTAAATGGTCTCAAATCCCATAAGGAATTTGAACCTCTGCAAGCAGGCTTCTTTTATTTGGGGGGGAGAAGCCACAGATTCTTCTGGAAAATTAAGTTATAAGCCTCTTCCCAGAAAATTCCCACCACTCCCCTGACATTTGAATACCTTTTCAGGGACCCAAGAATTCCCCCTTGGGAACCCGGTGGAAGAAGCTTGGGGGGCAGTGATCTCCATCAAGGCAGGGATTCGATGAAAGACAGCTTCCAAAACCAAGCAGGGACTATGGGTGGGCGAGGGGCTCTGGGAAGTGGAGTTTGCAGGAAGGAAGGAAGGAAGGAGATGCCAGAAAGGCAGAAGAAGGAGGCCAGGGTGTGTGACTAGCAACTGGTCACAGATTTCAGAGGCCTGGAGGGCCCTGCGCAGGGAGTGTGGGGGAGGGGGCGGAACAGGGGCAGTGACTCCAGCTCTTTGACCTGCCCCGTGTACTGCGCTGAGTAGGAGGACCATGAGGGATTCAGACATCAGTTCCTGGAAAGCTGTGGCCGTTCAAGTAGAAGATTGGCGGCGGGGCGGGGGGCCAGGCTGAAGATTTGGGGCTCTTGAATATGGGTGACAACTGACCTCGTGGGAGTCCATGGGCCCCTCCAGGGACAGTCTGCAAAATGAGACAGAAAGCTGGACCCTGTTGAGACCCACCTCTGAGGGGAACCAGGAAAGGAGCCCATGAAAGGGGAGTATCAGGGGACTGAGAGACCGAGAGACAGAGACCAAGGGGCAGAAAGGTCAAGCCCAATGAACATTGCCAGGCCACTGGGCTGGGCAGCTCTGAAGTCACTGGGCATCCCTAAAAGAGTCTTTCTTTTGCTAACTCTGCCGATCACGTCCTTGTCCTTAGTAAAAACACAGCCCAAGTATTTAGGGATAAGGAGACATGATGTCTGCGACTTACTTGCAAATGGTTTAGAAAAAATATATAGAGAGAGAGAAAGAATGTAGAAAATGTTCAAGAGTGGTGAATCTGGTGGAAGGGTTTGGGGGGGTTCTTTGTAATATTCTTGAGACTTCTTTAAGTTTAAAATGATAAAGATCTCCTTGTTTTAAAAAGAATACGTTGGGGAGAGTGCGGGGCACAGGTCAGGCATCGGTTAGTGCGTGGGGACCGAACTTTGGAGGAGTTTAAGGACGAAGAGAAAAAGGAGTGCGCTGACCACTGAGGGGTGAGACTTTTTTAAAGGTGGCGA